ATTGGGCCTAAAGCCCATTTCGAACTAGGCTGATTTGATCAATTAAATAAGGGGCGAATTCTGAGATTGGATTAGCAAATAGGATTGGGTCTTAACCCTATCCACTCAGAGAGTCCAGATCTAAATGTGATTCAGATCTGGAAACCTCCTAATGAGATTAGGAGAAGGTTGATCTAATTTGCAGATAAGATAAGGGTTTATCCTTATCAGTTAAAGGGAATTCTGATCCAAATATGATTTGGATCAGCAACTCCTAATGGGAGTACGAGCTGATCCCTTTAAGGTTATAAAAGGAGGAGGGGGCGGCAACCTTTTGGCACACTTCACATCCTGTCTTCAGTGCTGAAATCACAAAAGAGAGAATTCAGCTTTACTACGCAAAATCTCTCTTGTCGCCTCCTTCCTACCGTCGCCATATCTGCCAGTTTGATCTCCTGTTCTCAGTGGGAGTGATCAAGCTCAGATCTTGATATCAGTCCTTTGTGAAAGGGCTGATTGGAAGTAGTGCTCACGTGCCATCCAGCTGATTCTTGCAAAGGATCCGGTTCTTGTGAAGAACGCTGTTGATTCTGCTCCACCCTACACTACGCCATCTTCAGTGGGAGCAGTTTTTGGTTCCTTCCTTGGGCGTGAACACCTCCATTGGGAGATACTATTTCTCCGTATCAGGATATCCCTCTCCTACTGTATTTGTTCAGATCTGGTTCGGTTCTGGGTTCAAGATTGATCCCTGAAAAATACGATTTTTCTAAAATAAATAGGGAATACGATTCCCAATAGGATGGAGAGAAATTTTTGAAATTCACCCACTCTATTCCGCAAGATTCGAGCATTCATACGATGGATATCTCATCCCTTCAGTAAATTGCTACAATCTTGAAGTTTTTGACCACGGCTTAAACCTTTCTTGGAGTTTGATAATTTCAATAATCTCTCCTAAATTTTTTGATACAGTTGCAAATAGACCCCCTTTGTTAGAATTTTCTAAAAAGAGGTACAAAATGTCCAAAATACCCATGCAAATACTTATTGAGGCTGGTTTCTACGGAAAAGTAATATAACAAATTTTATAAATAACAAAAAAATAGAGACTTTAAAGTTTAATCTTTGCCTTTGAACGATTAGTATGAAATGGTAAATTTGGAAAATAAATCAGTTTCCGAAAAAAAAAAAAAGATTGGAAGGGCTTGGACTAGCAATTTATGTGAAGAGAAATTTTGGAAAATAAACTTTTTGGTCAAAGTAACTACACAGGTATTTTGGACATTTTTGTCTCTTTCTAAAAGATTCCAGCAAAGGGGATCTACATGCAACTATGTCGAAAAGGTAATTGCAATTACCATAGGAGAGGTGTAAGGATGGATTCACTCATCACAAAATTGTGCTCACATTGTTCTCACAGCAAGTGGTGTCAATTGGGCTCGATTTGGTCTGATCTGATCCCGTCTAGTGTGATTTCATTACAAATGGACCAGGTCCAATCCAATCCAATGAATATTTTGGACCATTTTGGACCGGTCCAATTTAATGTTTGGACCGTCCAATCTATTCAAATTTGTTTTAATTTAGATTATTTCTAACCCAAACCTGGTCTATTGACATCTATATTCTTATCTTCTATTAGTGGATCAGACATTGGCTCAATCCAACCCGATCCAATATAAATTATTACGGATGGACCAGTCCAATTCAATCGAATGAATACTTTGGACCATTAAGTTTGGGCTGGTCCAATTCAATATGTCTTGTTGGTCCGTCCAATTTTGGACAGGTCCAATCCAAACCAGTCCATTGACACCCCTATTCACAACCCTTTTTAGTCATGGATTAGGATTTGGGAACATCTCAATACTTTGTATCTTTTTATTCATGGGAGTTGTTCCTAATACATGGTTAAAAAGAGTCTAGATCATCTCCTCACACCAACTTCACAGCATGTACCAATCGCACATCAGGCTACGTTTGGAAACGATGCAAATAATTGTGAATGCAAAGTGTAAAACGGTTCATATAAATTGCAAATTTGGGTTAGTTTTGCACTGACAAGTTTACCTTTTTACCAAACAGACTTTTAGATGTAATGGATGCAAACATGAATTCTAATAAAGCATATATATATATATATATATATATATATATTTTTTTTTTTATCAAAAGCCCACTTGAATGCAAATTTACTTCTTTTTTATTGATGTACTTTTACATCTTATTATCAATATAAATATGCATTGGTCTGTCATTTGTCAATGCATAAATGTAATGTTGCCAAACACGGGCAAAAATGAATCAGAGTGCAAATTTACCTTGAACCAGCATTTACATTCCATTTGCATCATTTCCAAATGCAGCCTCATGAACATTTCCCCTATTTGTATGCCTTATTCATGGGAGATGTTTTCAATACACAGATGTGGATGTGAGATCGATGTGAAGAGCAAGGTTTTTAAAACTGAACTGGACAATGAACCAGTTAGGGGCCCGGTCAAAATCATTGGACTGTTCGAACAGTTCGACAGCCCGAGTCAACGATTTACCGGTCTGAAGACTTTGAATCTGTTCACGGCAATTAATCTATTAACGTTCTACAAGAGGTTGCAAAACGTCCGCATACGATTTTCTTTTGACCAAACCAATTAAACCCACAGCAGTTCCGGTATCCTGTCTTTCCGGCATCTCATCTGCCTGCACTCCATATTAGCTTTGTACCCTCGTAAAAAATTCGAAATTCCCCCTTTGAAGCGTGGTAATTATAATATAATCGGCGTTTAATACATTTGTAAGTAGACCCCAATAAGAGGTAAAAAATAAGAACTTAAAATTGCAGTTTACTTATTTTTGTAAGATGCATTTTACTTTGAGCAATTGATATAAAAGTCAAATTTGAAAAATAAATCAATTTCGAAAGGATATTAGAATGGTTTGGGTCTATCTCTTTACTCCGTAATGATTATTATCATATTATGTTAATAATATGACCCAAGTAAAGCTGAATTTGCAGCAGTTTTAAAAGCTCTATCATGTTGGAGGGAGCTAACAATTATCTATTATGCTAAAAGTGAGGCTTTAAGGCCTCGTCACTTTTCGGTAAGTTATTTATCCAGGTAAATATATTATTTAGGTAAGTGTTTCCCAAAATCCCAAGTAAA